ACTCCCACCATTTATCCAGTACTTCCCCTCGTGCCTTGGGAAACTAACGCTGTTTTTTTCTTTCCTAACCCCCCCCCCCCCCCCTCCGCCGCAGAAGATGACCCAAGACCTGCCTTTGCTGGCTGTGCAGGAGGCCCTGAGGAAGTGCTTCCCCGTGGTGGAGGAGCAGCAGGGCCTGTGGCAGAGCACTCTGCGGGCCTGCCAGCCCCTCCTGGCCTCCCTCAGCAACCTGGCAGAGCAGCTGCAGGCAGCACAGAATCTGCGGTTTGAGGACGTGCCGTCACTGCGGGCCTTCCCCGACTTGCAGGAGCGGCTGAGGCGCAAGCAGCTGGCAGCTGGTGACACTGTCCTGGACAAGCTGGGGGAGAGGCTGTAAGAGGCTCCATGGTGCTCTTTCTTGGCGGAAAGATTTTAAAACTGGGGGTTTTAGGAGTAGCCAGGATCAGTCAGAAGGGTGTTTTTCTCTTTACTTGAGACCATGACATTTGGTGGTGTCTCAACCCTTCCCGCTTTCCTTCTGTTGCAGTGGGACCTGTCAAAAAGCCATTTTCTGGCATTTCCCTTGTCAGAGGATAGACGTGGCCGTGGTGGGCTTAGTAGAAGTTACAAAAGCAGAACAGGAGTGGAAAAAGCTTTTTAGCCCTCTATGGTTTTCTTTGGTAAAAGGCAGTGAAAAACTGTTGTAAACTTAGTAGGTGCCAGAACTAAAGGTTTTACATACATTACCTTATAAAGTCTGTTCAACACCTCTGTGACTTAATTTTACTTAATTCCGTTTTGCATGTGAAGAAACTGAGGCTCAAGCAGATTGCCGGTGGTCACACAGCTAGTAAATAGTAGAGCTGGATTCTAATTCAAGCATGCCTGACACCAAAGCCGTAGCTCTTAACCACTACTTTGTTCTGCTGTACATTGGTGTCTCTTTGTCCAGGAATAGCACGTCTCTAACCTCTGATTTATGCCTGTTGATAGACCTTCTAAGAGTTATAGATTATTGAGGACAGAAAAGAGGCAGGGCACATGTGGCCTTTCCTTGGCCCAGAACAAAAGAATGGGGACCTTCCTTTTATTCATTTGTACAAAATACATTTATTAAGTACCTATGGGATGCCAAACAATGAACCAGACTTAATGTTCTTAGTTGACCAGATAACATAGACAGTTAATTAAATTATGTTGTAGTATGTCCTAAGAGAGTGATAAGGACAGCCTGTGAGGAGGGAGGAAGCTTCTGGGAGGAAGTGATAATCAGAAAACTGAAGGATGAACAGGTGTAAACTGGGTCAAGAGGTGGGTATGAGTAGTGTTGCCTAGAGAATAGTACAGCTGGAACAGCAGGAGTGGTAAGAGATGAGATTGGAGGAGTAGGCCAGCTCATGAAGCAACAATGTATCAGTTATGTAGAGGAGCATATGATCACTAGATCTGTCTCTTCTGGATTGAGGGGACTTTGGTGAGGGATGAAGGCAGAAATCTCTAGGAACCTCCTGCATGGTCATAGACACAGTTTCTACATAGGTCAACTCCTAAATCAGTAGTACCTGTTTAAGAACTCTGTGGGAATCAGCATTATTCATAGTCCAAAGTGGACTTAATCCAAATGTCTATTGACAGACAAATAAAGTGTGGTATAACCATACAATGGAATATTAAGCCATAAAAAGGAATGAGGTACTGATACATGCTACAGAATGGATGAACCTTGAAAACGTTAATGCTAAGTGAAGAAACCAGAAACAGAAAACCACATAGTATATGATTTCATTTATATGAAATTCCCAGAATTGGCAAATCCATAGAAAGAGAAAGTAGATAAGAGGTTGCTAGGGGCAGGAGAGAGGTGGGTAATGGGGATTGATTGACTACCAGTGAATATAGAATTTCTTTTTTGGATGATGAAAATGTTCTAGAATTAGATGGTGTTGATGGTTGCACAATTTTGTGAGTATACAAAAAACCCAAAACACCAAGTTGTATACTTATTTAAAACATTTAATAGACTTTATTTTTTAGAGCAGTTTTAGGTTCACAGCAAGATAGAATGGGAAGTAGAGAAAATTCCCTTATATTCCCTGCCCCTACACACATACAACCTCCCCACCTTCTACATCTCTCACCACAGTAGTACATTTGTTACCTTTGGTGAATATACATTGATATGTCGTTATTGAAAGTCTGTGGTTTATAATAGGGTTTACTGCTGATGTTGGACATTCTGTGGGTTTGGACAAATGTATAATTACATGTATACACCATTGTAGTATGATACACAGTAGTTTCACTGTAAGTTGTATGCTTTTAAAGGGTATGTTATATAGTATGTGAATTATACCTCAATTAAAAAAATGAAGAACTCCCTGTGAAAGCCTGCCTCCCAAGAGGTACCAAGTTTCCTCTAGGTCAGTGGCTTGCAGACTTTTGGCCTTCACTTACAGGAAGAAATACATTTTATAGCATTCGTATACACAAATATATACACATGTAGCTAAAATATTTCACAAAACAATACCATGAATGTTGTACTCTGATATTTTGTTTTCTAATTTATTTATTTTTAATACTGGTCACAACAAATAAGCAGGACCCACGGTATGAAAAACTGTTTCAGAGGGTCAAATATTGTTTTGTGAACTTTTATTTCAATTGATTACATATTTGTGTGTGGGTGTTGGGTTATTATTTTAAGTCTATTTTTTCATTGTGAGTCATGGGCAAACATTTTTGGAAGTCATAGTTCTAGGTTAGGAAATGGCTTGCCCTTAGGGAAGTTGTAGCCTTTGTCTTGATGGCTGAGCCCCTTGGAGTCACCAATGAAATAATAACAATATTTACCATAAGCTAGGTACTTCCCTAAGCACTTTATATGCATTATTGCATTTAACCTTTACAATAACCCTTTTCATTTATTCATTCATTAAACAAATGTTTGTTGTTCTGTGTGCCAGTCTCTGTTCTAGGTACTTAGGATGTACAGTGAGCAAAACAGACTGTTTTTATACCTGAGTTTTCCTGAGGTCCACAGTAGTCCACATGCATCCAGAGCCCACACCTTACCATTCAGGAATTTGCTAGGATGGGGCTAGGGAACATGTGGATAGTACTGGTTTGTTGCTTCAGTTTCCTCTTATTCCCTTTTCACATATGTGGCATAGGACCATGAATGAGTATTTGCTCTTCTTATATAGTTTATGGCAGCCCTAGAAAGGCCCCTTGGTCTTTATTTGGCAACTGGGATTATCACACAGCTTTGAGAACTGTATAACTTCAGCCTCTCCATCTTTAAGTCAGTTCTTGGTTCTTGAGCCTCCCCAACTTCCAAGGCACCATCATTAATCTTGTTAGATGAGTGTCTCAATTGGGGGTGTTTTTTGTTTGAGGGACATTAGGCAACATCTAGAGGCATTATTGATTGTTATGAGTTGGGGAGGGTAGGGGGATGGTTTACTTCTGTTGTCTAATGTGTAGAGGTCAGGCATACTGCTAAACATTCTACAATGCACAGGACAGCCTTCCACCACAAAGAATTATCCAGTCCAACATATCAGTAGAGCCAAGGTTGAGAAACCTTGCCTAATATCTTTCTTATAATATTGCCTAATGTCAGACTCTTTCCCACAGAGCCACCCTCCTCAAGGTACGTGACACAGTCAGCAGCCATGTGGAGCAAGTGTTTCAGATCTATGAGCAACACGCAGCCATGGCTGGCATTGATGCTGTCTTGGAGCCTTCAGTTCTGAGCCCTTCTGTGGCTGACATGTTGGAATGGTTGCAAGATATTGAGAGACATTATCGAAATTCATATCCTTTGCACACATTTTGGATAGTGTCCAGAGCTTTTCCAAGAAGTCTATTTTTAATTTCAATTTTCACAAGATCAGAAAGTTATATAGTTTGAGTCAGTTCTGTTTGGTTCCTGTACTTGGATTCTTCCTGAATTCCTTTGAACAATCATTCCTCAAAAAGTTGAGTTACTGCTACCTGCCAGGCACTGTTCTAGGTGCTAGAAGACACGCATTAAAAAAATAATATATAGAAATAATAAGTTGGTAATAAGTGCTATGGAGAAAAATAAAGCAGAGAAAGTGAAGAGTGAGGTGGGAGTTGTAATTTTAAATAGAGTGGTCAGGGTAGGCCTCACAAGAAAGTGACACTTGACCAAAGATCTGAAGAGGGTGAGGGAGAGAGCCTCGTGGATAGATGGGGGAAGTATTCCAGGCAGAAGGAACAGGAAATGCAGGGCCGGCCTGGTGGCACACTGGATAGTGCGCCGCTTGGGAAGCGCGGCGGCGCTCCCGCCCGAGGGTTCGGATCCCACATACAGACCGGTTCCCGCTCACTGGCTGAGCGAGGCGCGGGAGCAACGCCGAGGGTTGCGATCCCGTTGCCGGTCCCCGGTCCGGTACGGGGGCAACACTGAGGGTTGCGATCCGTTGCCGGACACGGAAAAAGACAAAAGACAAAAACAAAAACAAAAAAGAAGGAACAGGAAATGCAAAGGTTCTGGGGTGAGAATATGCCTAGTATATTAAGGAAATAGCAAGAAGGCCAGTGTGGCTAGAGCAGAGTATGAGGGGGAACCTAATAGGAGATGAGGTTAGCAAGACAGGGGACTAGCCTTTGTAAGGCCTTGAAGGTCTTTGAGAGGATTTTGGCTTTTACTCTGAGATAGAAACCTATTAGAAGGTTTTGAGTAGAGTAACAGGATAAGACCTATGGGTTTTTCTTTTTCTTTTTTTTTTAAATGACGACCGGTAAGGGGATCTTAACCCTTGCCTTGGTGTTGTCAGCACCACACTCACCCAGTGAGCAACCGGCCATCCCTATATGGGATCTGAACCCGTGGCCTTGGTATTAACAGCACCACACTCCCGAGTGAGCCATGGGCCGGCCCAACCTATGGGTTTTTCTTGGCAGCTGGCTGGTACGGAGACCCAAAGGACCTGTGATTTTAACAATGTCATGGTGGCTGTGTTCTGAGGAAAGACGGGGTGGTGGAGGCAAGGGTGAAAGCAGGAAAACCAACTAGTTGAAGTTCTGGCCTTTATCTCTTGATTCTTGCCTGCTCCCTGTGTCTACTCCTTGGCTTAAGTTTCTGCCTTCATGGGTGTTGTGTTACTCCCAAACCCCAACCTTGATGTTGTCTCTAGTCTTGAGTTTCATTTTCCTGCAGATGCCTCCAACCAAATCGCTCATGGAACTGCAAATTCAAGTTAAAAGTGAACTCCTCAATCTAGCTCTCAAGTTCAACCCCCTTTTCTTTTAGTTGTAGAATCAACCCTGTCTAATCATCCAGCCTGGGAATTCAAGGATTGTCTCCCCTCTTTTCCTCTCTGTTTTCTTTTTTAATTGCAATAGTAGTGGTAGTATTGGTAATAGTAGTAGTGGTAATAGCAACAGCTGCATGGGCAGAAGTAGTTGCTGGAGCTAACATTGCTGAGCGCTTACTATGTGCTAGAATGTTTACACAGTCACTCTTCGAGTCTTTGGATACCGTTTCGCTGGTGCTGCTTCTATTTTCCTTCTTCCCCTCTGCCACTTCCACAGTTTATTACCTCTCACTTGGACTCTTAATCACATGTAGTCTCTTGACAACTTTCTGTGTTCTAGCTTCTTTCCTTCTAAGCTATCTCCAATTAATGACATCAATCCATATATCTTCAGCAAGTCTAGTTCTGATCATGTTACTTGTATAGGAATTGTCAGTAGCTTCTCTTGCTAGTAGGATAGAGTTCAGTATCCCTACATTGGTCCTCAATGTTCTTTGTGTTCTGGCTCAACCCACAACTACTCTATGCAAGTCTTCCATGCCAGTCAGACTGAAAGATGTTGCTTTTCCCTGAATCCATTCTATGCTTCCCGAGTTCTGTGCCTTTGCTTATGTGTTTCCTACCAGTTGGAATGTGCCTGCTATCCTTTAAACTGGATGTATTCATCCTCTGAACTTCCACTGAGTTTTATCTTTCATGTCACTTTGATTCTTTTTCAGTTCCTGGTTTTGTCCTCACCATGGTGAGATACCAGATTTCAGGGACAGTGTTTTCATCCCTCTTTCCCTATCACACAAAGCCATGTTAGTAAAGAGTTGCTCAGGAAATACTTGTAGCATAGGTGAGTCCTGCCCACCTGGTAAAAGATAATGGTACCTGCACTTTCACTTTTATATCTCCCTGTAGCTCCCACAAAGGTAATTTTTTCCTTCAATATGTTTCATTTCCTTTTTGAACAGTCCTTAACTTCCAAGAAGGTACCTGAAGAGAAAGTATCTCCTCTCCTCAATCCATTGGGGAGACTTGGCAAACATCCAAGCTTTGCCCAAGGCCTGGAACCATATATCAGAAGATGAACACCAAGACATTGTACAAGGTACATTTTTTAATTTATTATTTTGTGTCTCCTCTCTTCCTTTCTTTCCTATGGCTCACCTCTTTGGAAGCATTAGTGAGATGCCCTTGCTATACCTGTGTGTCTTTTATAAATCTGACGTTTTGTGTTCTCTGGAGAGGTGATATGCCATAGTTTTTCTCTCTTCCTATTACAGATATCCTATTGAATGTTTCCTTCTTCCTGGAAGAGTAAGAAAGCTGTGTGTTTATCTGGAGACCAGGGTCACCACAGTTGAAGACTGACATTGCTGCACTCTGACATTCTAAAGAAATGTCAGTATTGCAGCCTGACATATTTGAAATATCAATGCCTAAGAATGGGGTCTTGGGGAGCATTGGTGCTAGATGTCTCTGATGTTAGAGCTTCTCCATGCCATGTCATGGCCGAGAATACATGGGCCACCCCTTGCCCTTCTCTGAGGCTCAGGGAAGAGGATGGAGGCAGACAGAAAGCAGGAAAGGCAGTACTGAAGAACACAATGTCTTTGTGTCCATCATAGGACCCAAAGTGGTAGGTAAGGAAAGGACAGGAGATAAAGAGTGGCACTGCCCTTGGCATTATCCAAAGCACTGAATCTGGTTGACATTTATGTATTTGTCAATACCTGACTCCTTGATGAAAGAGATAGTAGTTTTGATGATTTAAAGAAATAAGGGTGATGTTGATGGAAAACATTTAAAATTTTTGGACCAATTGCAATAGCTCATCATCAAGCCAGTTTCAGTTTCAGAGCCTGCCACCAGGGGGAGGTGGTGCTGCATGAGTAATTCTGAATTCTTTGTCTTTGAAGAGTGTTTCCTTATTGCTATTACCATCTGAGAGAAAGTAACTGGGGATAGTGAGACTCCCAAAATCACAGGGTTTTTTTTGGCCAAAGCTGGCATCTGTCTGACTTGCCACGTTCCTCTGAGTTTGGAGTAACTGCACAGATGGGAGAACACCAGCCCAGAGTCAGGCGATCAGGGTTACATGTCTGAGGTTCATCTGTGCAATGGTTGTGTTACTTGCAGAACTTTTGGCTTCCTGGGTTGTAGAAATCTTGGTAATTGGATCTAAAGGGGCTTAATAAAGAGAATAGATGTTTTTCAAGATGAAACGGCTTTGTTTTTTTCTTATTACAAAAGCGATACATGCTTTTTAAAAAATCATAGGAAAACTAAAAAAATTTTTAAATGTAGAAAAATATAGAACAAACTCCATCAGAATCTGTAATATAGGGTCGACCTGTGGCTCACTTGGGAGAGTGTGGTGCTGATCACACCAGGGCCATGGGTTTGGATCCCTATATAGGGATGGCCGGTTAGCTCACTTAGGAGAGCATGGTGCTGACAGCACCAAATCAAGGGTTAAGATCCCCTTGCCGGTCATCTTTAAAAAAAAAAAAAAAAAGAGGGAATCTGGAAATATAGCTCAACACAATTATATACCATTATATACATTATATGCCATTTTGTGAATGTGTATCTTACATTTTACATGTATTTTTCCAGATCTTCACTTTTTTTTCTATAAAGGCAATACATCCTGATTGTGAAAAATTTAAATACAGTCAGCCCTTCTTATCCATGGGTTCTGCATCCGAGGATTCAACCAACTGCAGATTTAAAATATTTAAAAAATAAAAGTTGCATCTGTACTGAACATGTATAGACTTTATTCCCTAGTCATTATTCCGTAAATAATACAGTGTAAAAACTTTGCATAGCATTTACATTGTATTAGGTATTATAAGTAATCTAGAGATGATTTAAAGTATATGGGAGGATGTGCATAGGTTGTATGCAAATACTACGCCACTTTGTATCAGGGACTTGAGCATCCGTGGATCTTGGTATCTGCAGTAGGTTCTGGAACCAATCCCCAATGGATTCTAAGGGACAACTGTTACATAGAAATGCACCATTGTCCACCTACTAGGTAACTTATTAATAACATGGTGTATATTTTTCCAGGAATTAAACTCTATCATGTACATAACTATTGTAAATAAAACTTAGACATTTGAGTATTGAGTCTTATGATGGGCTTTGGGGACAGATGAAAGAGAGCCCTAGAAAGTTTGTAGTTCAACCAGGGAAAAATTTAAACTAGAGTTTCTCAAACTTTAATGTGCATATAAATCATTGATCTCTTGTTAAAATTTAAATTCTGATTCCGTAGGTCTGGGATGAGGCCCAAGATTCTGATTTGCCAACAAGGTTTCAGGTAATGTTGATGCTGATAGTCCAAGGACCAGACTTTCAGTGGCAGAGATTTAAATTTTAATATAGTAATAAAAGTGTTATAGTTGAGGTAAAAACAGTGTGGTGGGAGAATAAAGGTGATTAATAACTGCCTGTGGAAATACTTCATGGTGACAGGGACATCAGAGTTAGGCCTTGAGGGGAATTTTTTTTTTTTTTTCCTTTTTGTCTTTTTTCTTGTCCGGCAACGGATCGCAACCCTCAGTGTCGCGCCCATACCGGACCGGCAACGGCATCGCAACCCTCGGTGTTGCTCCTGCCCCTCGCTCAGCCAGTGAGCGGCCGGTCTGTATGTGGGATCCGAACCCTCGGCGGGAGCGCCACCACGCTTCCCAAGCGGCGCACTATAGCAGTGCACCACTGGGCCGGCCCCAGGGTCATAAAGTTTAAGTGAGAGGAGATATGAGAGGGCTTTTGGTATATTTATAAACATTTAAGGAATTGAACTTCACTTAAGATTTATTAGTCACCCACTAAGTACATAGCTCTGTGCTATGCTCTTTAATACCTTTTTCAACCTTTAACAAGTATTGAAACAAGTATGCTTACCTCCATTAGGTAGATGAGGAAACTGAGACACAGAGAGACAGTGAGTGAGCTAAGTGCCCACAGCTTGTCAGTGACATTGCCAGAATTTTGCATCAGGGTTTTCTTGGGTCTGGTGTCTTTCCCCACACCACTGTTCTTAGGCACAAGCATATCTAACACCTGCTCAGCTGTAACAAGACTCAGGTTTTCTGAATACCCTGCCCTGCAGAGAGCGTGATTCCTCCAGGGCAGAGCTACCCCCATCTGACTTGGCAGTGGCACATGAAGTATCCAAGCCTCTTCCAGGGAAGCTGCAACCCTGCCAGTTACCCTCCCTTCTGATCCCATAGCCAAGAAGGTTGGAGTGGATCCTGGGGCTGTCTGCCAGAGTCTTACACTTTTGCCCTTTACACCAGAGCCTGGGAGGAGAAAGCTAGTCCTTCTTAAGGAATGACAGGGGGTACCCCTTCCAGGTACTCTCCTTCTCCATTATTCCTGGAAGGCTCCTTCTTGATTTCCACAGAGTGCAAAAAAAGACATATTTCTTTTTTTTAAAGGATGACTGGTAAGGGGATCTTAAGCCTTGGCTTGGTGTTGTCAGCACCACACTCTCCCAAGTGAGCAAACCGGCCATCCCTATATGGGATCCAAACCCGTGGCCTTGGTGTTATCAGCAGCACACTCTCCCAAGTGAGCCACGGGCTGGCCCCAGGAAAGACATATTTCTGAGATTGGTACCTGTTAGAGCATGTAAAGGCCCCAACCCCTGAGATTCTGATTCAGTATGTGTAGGGAGGGACTTAGGTAACTGCACTCTTAACAAGTACTCCTCATTCTGTTGCAGGGTCATTATTTAAGAAAAAGAATTTATCACAGAGAGGATGGCTGTATAGAGAATCCACAAAGACTGCCGTTCTCTGGGGAAGAAACTGGACTTCATAATTTCCTCATTGCACCTCTTACCATTTTGTTGCTTCCCAGCACCTAGCTAGTCCTCAGTTCCAACAGGCGCATCAGCGGTGCTCTCTCGACCTCCTCCATGCTATTAGTGGGGTAGTAATAACTTTTGTTTATGGGGTCTTATAGTCTGCCACATCCATTTTTCACTCATTCAGAAGCCTCCCTCTGTTCCCAGCACAGAGCTGATCACTGGCGATACAAAGGTAAATAAGAGAAGTAGGTCGAGCAGATATGCAAGCCCATCATGAGAAGTGCTGTCATGAAGGATGTGCAGGAAATACAGTGGATGGAGACTGATTCTTGTGGGGTTTTGTGGGAGACGAGAAAGGGAAATGCAAGAGTAGATCCCCAGTGACTTAATTTCAGTGCGAATCTTCCCTCTGGCCTCTAGTAGAGCAAGTAATGGGGGCTTGTTTGCCATCATGTGAGCAGGGAGCAACTCTCTATGCTCCAGCTCTTCTCTTCCCTATACAAACGTGAGTTCTTAATTTGCACAGAGAGCCCAGACTCATAAATCCACTACTCAATTGCAATCCCCACAGTGCGTTTATAGGCAGCAGCTGACTTTTATCAGCTAGTTTGTTCTTTCATATAAGCAGGGTTTTATGAGGGTCTCCTGAGCTGGCTCATAACGTGATGAAACGTCTGCAAAACTCAACCATAAATCCTTGGCACCTGCCTAGCAGAGGATGCTGTTTTCCAGGCACATTTTGTCCAGCTGGCGGCTCTGTCCCCTTGCCCAGTTTGCATTTTTGCACTTGTCTCTTTAAACTTGGATTTGTTTTTCAGCTCTCTGCGGCCTCTTTAAAGACAACTGAAAAATGAGGGGTAGGAAAAAGGAACTTAAAAGTTACATCTGTGCTAAAAATTACTCCTGGCTTATGTTGCTCTGAAAGCTGGTTTTGATCCCAGTGCTGAAACAGAGACATCGGGCTTCCCAGCCACATGAACCCCTGGCAGGGGACTAGAGGACAGTGCCAACTGAGCCTGTTATTAATACTTTGATTCTTTTCTGGGCCATCACCCTTTGTACTTGCCAAAGGCCCCTACCCTCAGTTGTCAGTTCTGTAAATTAAAGAAACAGCTCCTGAGGCCTCTTTCTCAGATTGTCTCCAAGCATGGTATCTTTTCCCAGCATTTAGAGTTTCCCCAACACAGAGAGATGAAATTTAAATGTCCTCACCCCTCCAAATAAGGCAAGACCTGAACTCTTTGAGGATGCTGGTTGGCTGAGATGGACTGGGTACTAGTGAAAGCTACAAATGCCTCAGTGGCATGTGCTGTCAGTGTGGGAAAGGTCGATCGTGGCCTTAGGCTGTGCCCCAGAATTATTCACCTATGTTTATGGGTTCTCTGTTTTAGTCAGGAGACCACCAGTCAGAAGATGACTCCTGTGGCTGCCCCTCCTGTGACCTCATCCTTTGCTTGCTTTCCCTAGACTGCACTTCAAGGCTAGCTCCATGGGTTTGTGACTTGTGCTTACAGCAGTCCCAAGCTTGGTTTAATGCTCTGCTATCACCCTCTTGAAATTCTTAATATTTATCTGTTTATTTTGCGGCTGGCTGGTACTGATCTGAACCCTTGACCTTGGTTTTATAATACCACGCTCTAACCAACTAAGCTAACTGGCCAGTCCCTTAATAGTTTTTAAACATGGGGCCAGATTTTCACTTTGCACTGGGCTCTGCAAATTACGTTGCTGGTCCTGCCCTGCTTCCCTCTGGTCCAACTGAATGTAGCTGTCCCAGAGCTGTGGATAAATCCTCTCTCCTTCAAGTCCAGGTCTGAGCCTGTGCAGAGTAGTTTACTGTTAGGAATCTGGCCTTGCCACACTCCTAAAGACCCACTGTTACCCAGTCTTCTGGTTACAGCCAATCCCTATTACTTGACAGCATTTCTACAGGCCCTAAAGAGGCCTGCCAATCCCAGATCATTAAGTTATCATCAGATGCTCCTGGCCCCTTCTTACCATCTTACAGAAAAGGCTTCTAGTCAATGCACTCTGCTTGAAGGAAGGTGCCTGCTCCTATGGAGGGGCTGGGGTCTCTGCTAGAGAAAACAGCCCTTAACCCTCATCTCCTCCTCAAAAGCAAGACATTGTCCCTGATGTGGGAAAGGAGATCCACCTCATTTTTCAAAGCCCGACCCAGACACCATTTACTCTGGTTTCTTTTCTTTTTTTTTTTCCTTTTTGTCTTTTTTCGTGTCCGGCAACGGATCGCAAACCTCAGTGTTGCGCCCGTACCGGACCGGACCAGCAATGGGATCGCAACCCTCGGTGCTGCGCCCGCACCTCGCTCAGCCAGTGAGCGGGAACCGGTCTGTATGTGGGATCCGAACCCTCGGCGGGAGTGCCGCCGCGCTC